CTGGTCCCCCACTCTCTCCCTGTCTCTCTGTCTGTCCCCACTGCTGCCCTAGATAGCCAAGCTCAGCCACCCAGGCAGGTCTGGGCCATACCAACCTCCCTGTCTGCCTCTGGGCACCTGGCTCTCCCGGGCGCGTGGAGAAGGGACACGTTTCTGACCAGGGGCAGCAGCCTGGTCCCGGGGCCGCTTCCTGCCAGGCCTGCCCGCCCGTCTGCCCCCCTGGGGAGCTCTGGCCCCGGCTCCTCGGCACCTTCTACTCCTGGGCAGTGTCCAGGGCGGGTGTGAACACGGGTCCCCACCTCTCCCAGGTGTCAGAGGGCTCCGCCGGGTCGGGTCGCACCTCGCACAGGACTGCAGATGTGAGTGGCAGCTGTGCAGGCTGAGGCGGGAGTGGGTGCCAGTCAGGCCTGCAGGTGGAGGGGGGGAGACAGAGCTGTCTCAGGCGCCAGGGGACCACCCACACAGCCGCTGACGCTCACAGCTGGTCCCTGCTTCCCGTGACCCTCAGGGAGGCGTGGGCCTGTGTTTAGGGCCACCGTGAACTCACAACAGCCAACCCTAAACAGGGGACTGACTCAGTCCGCAACGGGGGTCCGTCTGCAGAGATGGCTTAGTCACGATCCCTCCTGCCCTGTCTTCAGGGAGCACCCACCCGGCCCCTGGCCACTGTGTGGGTTAGCCCGCCGGCTCCTCCCTGGGGGCCGGAGAGTGAAATCCACCTGTTCCCCAGGAGGCCTGACTGGGGGACCCTGGGGTCAACGGTGCTTCAAGTATAAATAACACCCTAACCACTCCCATCTACAGTCACCCCCATTTCATAAAGGAAGAGCTCGAGAATGTCAGAAAGGTGGGGGCGCCCCATCCTGCCTGCCCATCTGGAAGCCTGCAGCTCAATTCTGGCTGGCAGGGAGGAGGGGGGCAAGCCAGGTGGGCTCCTCCAGGATACCCTGCCCCCAGCCCCTGCCCCTGTAAAGAAGGGGCCGGTGGGCTCAACTCCAGGGCTCTGTTTGCCTCAAGTTTCAACATTTACAAAACATTGGTCCTAGGCTCTTCTGGGGACATACATCTGGGGAATGTAAACAGAAGAGACTCCTACCAGGCACCGGTGGTGGTGGGGCCTGGGGTCTAAAAGCCGAGAGTCCCCAGCGCCCCAGGGCTCACTGCATGACCTGGTCTCCCTGGGCCCCTGGGCTGCTGGCCTGCCTGCCTCTACCGTCTAACTTGGGCCCTCTGGCCACATGCCACCCTGTGCTAAACACCCAGTGCCCTTGGGACTGGGCTGGGCCAGCACTTAAGTAAGTGCGCTCCCTAAGGTCCGGCTCTGAGCGAGATGACCAGAGAGGCTGTGACCCTCGTGCCACAGCTCCGGACTGTCAGGAAGCTCCGCTGAGGACCACACGGGGCTTGTCTGCAGCGTGTGCTGGTGGCTGGACACGTACCCACAGGCTCTCAGCAAGGCCCGAGGCTGGGCTCCAGGGGGATGCCTTCCCCCTCCACTATCTCCAGCTCCAGGAATGCACCGAGCCCCCACCCCCTGCCCACCCAGGGGAGGAATGTGGCAGAGGCTGCTGGAAGCTGGGCCCTGGGGGAGACAGTGGTGCGGAGGCCCCGCCTCCTGAATTCCCAGGCCCGCACCAGACCCCACCTGCCCCCGGCCCTCAACCCAGGCTTCCAATCAGGGCTGGTCACTGCATGGCGGTGTCCCCTCCTCGAGAGGCTCCAGCTGGGTCATCACCCTTCAAAGCCCCAGACCAGGCACTGTTGGCATTTTGGCAAAGGCCACCTGCTGGGCTGTCCCAGGCACTGGGCACAGCAGCCTCCCTGCCCCCGCCCCCCTTTGGTGGCCCGTAGCAACGTCCCTGCACCGGCTGTGAGTGACACCCTCTGCCCCAGACCTCCAGAGCTAAGATGTGTATGCCCTCGTTCTCAGGCCATGAGCACCCTGGGGACAGGGGCCAGTGCCCACCCTAGGGCCAGGACAGCCCCACACTGCCACCTGCACGTCTCACAGCACTGCCTGGCTGGGCTCTGCTGACACCCCAGGGCCTCAGCACCCCAGCACCAGAGGAGCTGGTGGGAGGGGAGAAGCTGTCTGGAGCCAGAGGACGGGGCGGGGCCAGCCAGACAAGCCCGGCCAGGCCCTCACCTGGGGCAGGAATTTGGGTGCACACCTTTGCCTCGGGGCCTGTTTTCAGCAGCTGCTGGCTTGGTGCATGGATGGGCCTCAGAAAACAGGCCCTGTCACCACCCAGGGGCCTGAGGAATAGGGCCACATTCCCCTCTAGTCCCCCTCTGGGCATCACCAGGGAGGGGAGATGGGACCTCAAACTGCTGCTTCTGAATGTGCCATCCCGAAGGCCTGCTGTGAACCTCCTCACAGCTCGACACTGAGGGACCGTGAACCTCCTCACAGCTTGACACTGGGGGACCGTGAACCTCCTCACAGCTCGACACTGGGGGACCGTGAACCTCCTCACAGCTCGACACTGGGGGACCGTGAACCTCCTCACAGCTCGACACTGAGGGACCGGACCCTCTCCTGCTTCTCACCCCTCCACCCCCGGAGCCTGAGGCTGGGTTCAAACCCACCCCGCGCCCTAGCACTGCGACTCTGGGGAGCGACTTCCTCTCCCTCAGCCTCAGTTCCTGCTCTGTAAACTGGGTTCACTAGGGGCCTCCTTGTTGAGGCCTTAACCAGGTGCCAGACTGGCGGCCAGGACCCTCCCCAAGCCTCCGTGGCCCCCGCACACTGCCGAGTGGCCGCTGGGCACTGTGTCCTGTGAGCCCTGCGGGACTCCAGCACCTGGAGCTCGCTCTGCCACCGGCGGCTGCTTATGGACTGGCCACGCTGCCTACTCCTCCAAGGGCAGAAGAGCCAGGGCCTGAGATGGTCCCAGGTTACCTCCCAGACAGGCCGACAGACCGCCCATCAGACCCGGTTCTGCAGGGGCAAGCAGCAGCGAAGGGCTGGCGTGAGTTTCTGCGGGGCACACCTGCCCCCAGGTGTGGGCGCGTCTCATCGCTCACCCCCGACAAGGCCGCTAGCTGCCCCTTTCCGGCTCAGTCCTCAACTTCACCCACAGCACCAGGGAGAGCAGCTTCACCCTCCTGATGGGGACACTGAGGCTCAGAGAGAAGGGCCAGGGGGTCAGGGCTCTTTCTGCACAGGGTCCGAGGTCAGCCTGGAACCAGGACACAGGCTCAGTCTGCCTGTTCTCTGCAACCGTCTCCCCTGGACCCGGAGCTCGGCACGGTTTGGCTGGACCGTCTTGGCCTCTGGCCAGTAAGGCGAGCCCTCGGAGTGTCTGCGGGACAAGCCAGCTGGACACACCGTGTGCTCCTGGGACGGAAGTGCCTCCTTTCCTGTCACTGGGCTCAGTCCTCTGGCCACGAGAGGGGTCAGAAGATGGGGCATCTCGGACGCTTCCCATCTCACAGTGTCTCTCCGCTGGGGGTGGCCCAGGCAGGGGTCTCTGCTGCTGGCCATCCAGGTGGACTGAGGCACCTTCACCTTTATCTTGGGAAGGGTCCGTGGGAGCCTCCTGGAGCTGAGTGGGGAAGGGGATGAGCCCGCCCCAGCCTGACCCAATGCTGGCGAAGTCAGTGGTGAGCCCTGCCCGTCGGGTGGACGCGGGTGTCAAAACAGGGGGTGGGAAACCTAGGGTTTGTGCTCTTTATTACGTATGTGTAGGTCGTGTCTCAGTGAATAAAACCCAACAACGTGCAATAAGAAAAAGTAGAAAATAAAATGACAAAGTAAAGTATTTGAACGACAGTAAGAGCGCACAGAATGCTGGCCCGGCTCCCTGGGGCTCCGACGGCCTGTGAGTAATGCTGCAGAGGGCCCCAGGCTCCCCGCAGGCCTGACTCACCTGTCCCTGAGCCTCACCCACCGGAGGGCTCGTGACTGAATGGGAACCTGTCTCAGAACAGAGGATGGGCCCTGGCTGGTTTGGTTCAGCGGTTAGAGCGTCGGCCTGCGGTCCTGAGAGACCCGGGTTCGGTTCCCGCTAAGGGCACGTGCCTCGGTTGGTTTGGCCCTGGTTGGTTGTGTGGGTGGCAGCCACTCGATGTGTCCCTTTCATGTCGATGTTTCTCTCTCTCTCCCTCCGCTGTCTGAACAAAAAATGGAAAAATGTCCTCGGGTGAGGATAAAAGCACAGAGCAGCCCAGGACCTGCCCCATGGGGGGCTCACCTCATCCTCCCACTCCCCAGGGGACCCTCTGGGGTGGGACTGTCAAGAGCCAGCCCCCCTCCCAACAGAAAGCAGGGCAGGCCGGAGGGCCAGTGGCCGATCCTGTCCAGACGCGGTGGAAGCTTGTCCGGCGGCCCTGACCCACCGCTCACCCTGGCGCGCGCCCAGGCCTGGAAGGAAGTCTCCCCGTTCGGAGCTGTTCTCCCACACACAATGCGCTTCGGGCTGGCCCGGCCCTGCTGGCCCAGCAGCAGCGGGTCTGGGAGGAGGGGGGCCTCCCCTGGAGGTGTGCGGGCCCCCCCCCCCAGAGCCTCCGCCCTGTCTGAGGGGAGCCCGCAGGTGGGGCCGAGGATGCGCAGGGGCCACTGCCACCCCCCTAGGCAGCCTCAGTGGGGCCCTGCCCGGGCCTGGGGTGGTTCTAGTGCGGCTTCTGTAGCGAACAGCCCAGGACCCCCGTCTGCCCGTGTGACCTGGGGCCACAGCACAGTAATGAGGGTGATGGTGATGGTGATGATGGTGAGGGTGATGGTGATGGTGATGGAGGTCGTGGCGGTGCCCAGGGCACCGTGGGAGCCGGGACGGCGGCGCGCGGGGCTCGCCTGCCCGACGGGGGCGGCAGGGACCCCGGCCCGCAGGAGGAACCGCAGGCGCCCCGCCAGCCGGGCTGCGCCCACCCACCCACTCGCAGCGGACGCGCCTGGCCCCGCCCACCGGAAGCGGAAGTGCGCCCGGGCGGCCGGCCAGGCTCTGCGCAGACTCGCCGCGGCGCGCCGGGACCCGGAAGCACTGGCCGAGGCCCCGCCCCGCCCGCCCATAGCGCTGCCGGGGGACGTCGGGCTTTCTTTTCGCGGACGCGCTCGTGGTGGCAGCAGGTAGGCCGCGTGGTCGGTGCCGGCTCCGCGGGGCCGGGCGCGCGGGGTCGGGGTGGGGCCGCGCGCGGGGTCGGGGTGGGGGCCCGGGCGCGCGGGGTCGGGGTGGGGGCCCGGGCGCGCGGGGTCGGGGTGGGGGCCCGGGCGCGCGGGGTCGGGGTGGGGCCGCGCGCGGGGTCGGGGTGGGGGCCCGGGCGCGCGCGGTCGGGGTGGGGGCCCGGGCGCGTCCTCGTCCTCACGGCGCCGCGCGGGGTCTCGCAGGCGCGGCCTAGCCATGCAGAACGACGCCGGCGAGTTCGTGGACCTGTACGTGCCGCGGAAATGGTGAGCGCCGCCCGCGTCCGCGTCCCGAGTCCGTCCCCCGCCCCCCCGCCCCCGCTCACCGCGCTCTCCCCGCAGCTCCGCCAGCAACCGCATCATCGGCGCCAAGGACCACGCGTCCATCCAGATGAACGTGGCCGAGGTGAGCCGGCGGCGCGGGGCTGGGCGGTGGGGGCCCCGCAGCGGGGAGCGCGTTCGGGCGGCGCCCCGAGCCCGTCGGTGACCTCCTCCTCCGTCGATAGGTTGACAAGGTGACAGGCAGGTTCAACGGCCAGTTTAAAACCTATGCTATCTGCGGGGCTATTCGCAGGATGGTGAGTGACCGGGCCTGCTGTTCGATTGTTTCTCGGGCTTGAGGCCGTCTGTCGGCCGGATAGGTTTCGGCCCCGGGATTGGATTGCGTCGGTTGTCTGCCCGGTCCTGGGGGGTTGGGGTGGAAACGGTGCTCAAAGGGTCCGCCCTTTATCTTGGTGCTTCCCAGTGATCACAGCCCCTCATCCCCATCCCCAAGGCCTCCCCCTTTCCGGGGAGGCATCACCACGACACCGGAGAGGGCCTACGCTAGGGCTGGGTGGTCCCCAGTAGACCTGCCAGCCTGGGGCCGCAGGGACCAGAGCCTCATTGTGCTTTTTCTCAGGGGGAGTCGGATGACTCCATTCTCCGACTGGCCAAGGCTGATGGCATTGTCTCAAAGTAAGAGGGCTTGCGCTGGGCAGGGGCGGGGGTTCTCTGTGGACTAGGCTTTAATGTCGGTCTTCCTTTTGTTTAGGAACTTCTGAGCGGAGAGCATCACAGATATGAAATTTGTCATAAATAAATAGTGGAAACCCCCCTGTTGGTCCATTCTGTGTGTGCTCCCCTGGGCTCGGGTTCAGGGCTGATGTTTTGCTGTGCAAGGTTGACGAGGAGGGACCAGCCGGCTGAAAGGAGATGACCTATGAAACATGCTGCAAAACCAAATTTTACTGTAAAGCACAAATACAAACGTCTGTGACACAACTCGGCACTGAGGTCAGGTAGTTGCTTAACACACATTTCAGGTGCACAGCTGCTGGGCACTGGGCCTGGACCCTCAGGTGTCGGCTTGTTCCAGAGGATGGGGCTCAGGCTGAGGTTTGGCTTAACACTGGTTTTGCTGCGGGGATTCTTGAGTGCCACACAGTGGCAGCTCTCAGCACTGCTAAGGACACCGCCGGGAAGGTTACAGACAAGACTGATAAACGACTAAATCTTAGGACATAAATGTGCAAATTTAAATTACCATACTTATATGCTGTTCTAACATCTGTACAGAAATTCCCAAGGAGATAGGTCCCTCGAGGCTAAGTTGTAAACCAGGACATAATTTAAAAGTCCCTTACAGTGCTTGTAACAAGTGTCTTTGAGATGTATGGTGGTCGGACAGGTTGCTTTCCAGAAATTGCCGGGGCCTAGCAGCTACATACACCCTCTGATCCACCTTGTACGCTCGCTGGGTTTGGGGGCCATCTTGGAGAGGGAGACACCGCAGTGAGTTAAGGATGCAGTGCGGCTTGGCCCTCCGTCCTGCAGCCTCCATTAGCCTGAAGGAGTGTGGGAGGAGCAGCCAGGCCTGCAGACAGCAGTGGGCTGTGACTGGCCTGCCCCTCTGCTGGGGTCTGGGCTGAGTTGCTGGTGGTTGGGTGCTGTGATGAGCGGGACTGGCCTTTCTGCAAACACCAGTCCACATGGAGAGAATGCGGGGTGGGGCCGACCCAGAGCCCCTCCAGTGATGAGTTTGTAGTACACTAGGGAAGCAACGTGGCCATTTTCCAGACCAGCTGTCATTGGTTCTTACAGTGTGTTTGGTAGGGCAGCAAGCAGCAGAACTGGACACAATTCGTGCACGGATGACAGACCTGGAAAAGCTGAACGGGGGCCTGCACGGGAGTGACACGCGCCAGCAGCCAGGGTCTGCTCAGTGTGGTGATGCACCGGCCAGTTGGCCTTGATAGCCCCTCTTGGGGAGACAGTACGAGGGGTGCAGGGCTGAGTGGTCAGTCTCCCAGCTTGAGGATCAAGTGTGCTTTCAAGTCAACTTCAGCACACCTCATTTAACCAGTTTGTGTTCCCTTAAAAGACCTACAGGACAGAATCTCAGATGACAATAAATAGGTTGTTTTCCTGTCACGATATTGCTTAGTAAGATCAAGAGCCAAAGGCCAGCAATGCAGTTGTCCAGAGGTCCGGAGTGCCCTGGGCCAGCGGGGTTTTCCTGTGAGGTGAAGGGCAGTCCCTGCATGGGACAGCTGTGATCGCTGAGGCCTGTGGGGTGTGCGACACTCGGGTCTCAGGACTTCACAGTGACACGATGCTCAGGAGAAGAGAGGCCCAAGAGTAAAACTGCTCTTGCTGGCTCTGGTGGGTGAGTGGACAGCAGGGCTGGGCGGAGCCAGGCCGTGGGGTGGGGTGTGCTCCACAGTGGTTTCCACATCAAGAAACTAGAAACAGTCGTGATTAATGCTACAGTGCGCTGACTTTGACTCTCAGCAACACGTGGGAACCCAGATCTCTGCTGTGACACCATGTGGTGGCGGCTGGTACGTGGTACGTGGAAGGCGAGGCAACACGAACAAGAGCAGATGCCGTGGTGCATCAAGGTCCGGTGCCAGGCCAGTCTCAGGCCCGCGAGAACAAGCAGATCCCACGTCCTGTTGGCGCAAGAATGAGAGCGCTCGGGAGCCGTGGTGGTGCAGTGCTCTTTGGAACGGAAGCCACGGCCCAGGAAGCAAGCGTGTGAGGGCTGGCCAGCGCCTCCCCGCAGGGGTGCACTTCACTGCCTAGGGGGCAGCCCCCCGACGGGGGTGTGCCGAGTGGCGTGGGCACGGGCTGTCTGGGTGGGGTCCCCGACTAGAACTGCTGTGTGAGGCGTCGGTAATGAGGTGACACCTGGTTCTCGGGAAGGTAGAGAGCAAGCTCCAGGGCCACGAGCACGGTGAACTCGAACCCAATCAGATCCCGTCTGTTGAACCGGAACCTTTCTTCTAACTTCTGCGTTGAAGAAGAGGGAAGGATTGTGGTTTTTTTTTTTTTTTGTACGTGCCCCTAGCAGGAACCGAACCCGGAACTCTAGTCCACAGGCTGACGCTCCAACCACTGAGCCAGACTGGCCAGGGCAAAGAGGGAAGGGTTAAGCAGGGTCCCCTGCTCTGGTCCCTAAGTCAGCAGGTTTGGGAGTGGGCGGGGGTCCCACTCCAGGTTCACTAGTGGGCAATGACCACCCTCCCCAGGGGTGGTGCCCAGTCTTAAAAGTGCTGGCTGGGGTGACACCGGAGGGGAAGTGGTGGGCGGGTCTGGAAGGGGCGGGGCCAGGAGGCGGGGCGGGGCTGGGAGCGCACTCACATCGATGAGCTGCTTCACCTCGCTCTTGCGGAGGTCGCTGCTGATCTTGGCGGCGAGCAGCACGCAGGCGCCGGCGCACAGCTTGCGGTTCTGCTTGTTGAGCTTGCCTTGCAGGACAAGCTTCTCGAAGTACACGTAGGCCATGGACACGGTCACCGGCTCCAGGTTGCACTCCTCAGAGAGGTTCCGCATCTCGCGTTTCAAACTGCGGGTTTAAACGCAAGTCAGGCGCTCTTGGGGGGGGCGCCCCCCTCTCCAGGACACAGGGACATGCCTTGGGGCCGTTAGAACAGCTCTGTTCCTTCCAGGAGGGTGCAGCCCAGCACCAGGGCCCTCAGCTTGGTGGGCAAGCAGCATGCTGGTCTTGGGCTCCACTCGCCCCTTGGCTGGGTACCACAGCACCCCCCAACTGTACGGGGAGGCCTGCACTGACCATCCTCTAGGGGCCACCACAGAGGACAGAGTCCCGTCCCCTGTGGCAGCAAGGGGACACTGGGACTGTGCAGGCGGGAAACCACAACTGCACAGGAGCTGAGGTGAGGGTGGACTGGGGGGCATCTGGTCCACTCCAGGAACCTGCAGCTGCGGGGCTGGGGTGTTAGTGGGATTCAGCAGGGCGAGACCCCTGGAGTGACCTGGAGTCCTTCCTTGGCCAGCAGCTCCAGTACCTGCTCTCTGTGGGCCGTGGGGTAGCTGCCTTGGCCCACAAGTTCCTGCCTACCCAAGAGGTGCAGCCAACTCGTGGAGCATGTGGGCTCAGGAGTATGTGGGCACCAGCGGGTGTGGGCAGCTGCAGGAGCAAGGAGGCAGCCTGACTGGCAGAGGCATGTGCATGCGTGTGTCCATCCGTGTGTGTGTGTCCCAGTGGCCTGATCAGAGGACAGGAGGGGCATCTGGGCCTGTCAGGTGCAGGAATCCATGGGAAATGGGAGGAGAGGCCAACAGGACCTCACAGGACGACACACACTAGAAGTGGTGAGGGGGTGTCCCTGGGTGGTCTGTGCCCTCCCTACCTCCTGATTTTGCTGAGTGTTAGTCTGACATGTGGGAACTTCTCCCGGAATGTCTCATTCATGTCCTTCTTGAGGTCGGAGGGCTTCACGTACTCGATCACTGTGGTCTGCAACACAGAGGGCGGCAGGTGGGACCGGGCTGCTGTGAGGATTTCACGGATGCACCGAGCCCTCGGAGCGGCTCCAGGCCTGGAACACGCCTCGGACAGAGGGTAGGGGAGCTGAGGGTGCACAGCAGGGACCTGGCCGTGGAGCCTGTGGGCCGAGGGCAAGGGTGACCCTGGGCTGTGTGGCCAGCACTGCTCTCTGGCCTGCTGCACCCTCTCCCCGCAGTGCTGCCAGAGTCTCGGGTGGAGCGTGTCGGCCCTGCCCTGGTGGTGCTGGGCTTCCCAGTGCTGGGCCAGCTTGCCCACAGCCCGCCCGAGTGCCCGAGGGCACAGTGCAGTGTACCATGTAGGACGCGAAGATGAGGACCCGCTTGTGCTTGCCACAGGGCCACTGCGGGTCATCCAGCAGGTTGGGGTTGTACTCCAGGGGGTCCCCTGCGTCACTCCCTGCAGGAAGAAGGCAGCAGTGACCCACCATGAGCCCTGAGCTCTGGCCCCCGGTTTTCAGCAACCCAAGCCTCAGCAACCCCGAGGCTGCAGCTGTCACCCAGGAACGAGACAACGCTCCCGGGGCCCGGGGGGGGCCCAGGCGTGGGTGGAAGGGAAGGGCATCCCGATCAGGACCGACCCTGCTCTGCCCCAGTGCCCTCTGTGGACACAGCTTCTCTCCACTGCCGGCTGGGGGTCTTCTCCACCGAGAGCCCGTCTGTCCTGAAAAGCTGCACCCTGACTACACACCCCAAGCCCACCTCTGTCTGGACTGAGGGCTGTGGGCTCAAATGTGACTCATTCTTCTGCTTCTACAAGGGGCCACTGGCCTGGCTGGCAGGGACCTCGCCCGAGCCCGCACACCCGTCAGGGTACCTAGCTCCGAGCTGGTGGGCGCCGACTTGGCAGCAGCAGGCTTGTATCTGGACGCTGGCAGAGCCCGGGGGACACTGGGCCGGGGCTGGGGCGGCGGGCCATGGCCGTCTGTCTTTTGTGCGACCAGGGCGTTGGTAGGGTACAGGAACTTGGCGTAGGACACGACCTGGAGAGGTGAGCGCATCAGGTCCGCCCTCCTTGCTGCTTCCGGAGTCCCGCACAAACGCGCCCTCCGCAGCCCAGGCAGGTGGGCTGGACGCTGCTCACCTGACGTCGGTGTTCTCAGTGACAAGAACGTTCCCGAACGTCACCCCGCCAGCCTTGTCTGGGTCGTAGCCCAGGAACGTCTCCCTGCCTCTGATGCCCTTGAACTCCCACCGCCCGTGCCAGGGCCCCTCCCTCTCAGGGCCGTGTGGCTCGCTCCCTCTGCCCCTGCATTTGAGGTGACAGGGACACGCCACCTCACGTGCTCGTCCTCTCCGTAAGCGTGGGCGCCAAGCGTGCCCGCCCCGCCCCGTGTGCTGGCATCGCCTCTTGCCTTTCCATCTGCTCCCAGCTCCACACCTTCCAACTCAAAGACCATCTCGGAAGAAGCGGACACGCCGCCAGACGGGTGCCTCTGCTTCTGGCTGTCCACCCTCAGGTCACTGCAGCGGACGGCACAGGGGTGGGGGGGAGATGAACTTACATGCATGCACACATAACCAACGGACACGGACAGCAAAGTTGGGAGCGGGGTGCGGGGATGGGGAGGAGGGTGCCAATGGGGTAAAAAAGGAGAAACATCTGTAACAAAAATAAAATAAAAAAAAAACAAAAACACAGCACAGGAGAGCTGCTGGCCTCCTCTGCCCCTCCAGGGGCAGGGCAGCAGCGCTCACATCACAGGCTGCGCCCTCTGCACCCTCGACGCCACCCGGACGCGAGGGCACGTGCCGGGCTGCCCCACGGGAAGGGCCGCGGCACGCGTGTCCCCGGCGCAGTGAAGGCGCCAGTTGTAAGAACTGCCCAGTCTCGCTCCTTCCCTGGACCCAGTTGCTTCCTGTTAAAACGCCAGCTGGGAGCGAGGTGGCCGCAGCCAAGCCGGCTCTCCGGGGGTGTGTGCCCCGCCCTGCAGTCACGGGCAGGTTTCCCCACGACTGTGCTTAAGCCAGGTCGCAGGCGCCCCCCACCCTGAGGGCCGGCGCCTTCTTCGCGGCTGCGCGTAGGACAGTGGTCTGGGCTGCTCACCAGGCTGCGTGGCAGGTCCCCACGAGGAGGAACGCCCCAGCTCTGACGTGGGCAGCTCACACAGAAGTAAGGTGCCGACACCCCCCTCGCAGAGAACCAGGAAACGGGCAGAGCCCCTGAGAAGATCCGGAGGGAGCTGATCTCTGCACTGACCGCCTTGTGAAGCTGCCGAGTGCGGTCAGCCCACCCTGGGCCCCGGGCCGGGCCACTCACCTGACCCGCAGGCCTTCTCCATAGGGCAGGACCGAGAAGGCCGCACACAAGGACCGCTTGGCGCAGATCAGCACAATCCTGCGGGGAGGTGTGTGTCAGACGGTGGCGGGTTTCCTGGGGAGCACTCCCTGCTGGGAAGAGCTTCCTGCCGAGGCCTGGTGACGGGAACTGCCCCAGGTGTCCAGGGGACTCTCAGGCCGAAGCCCAGTAGCTAATGTCACGGGTCCTCCACATTAACTGGCCACACTGGAAGGGTCTCTCCTGGCCCCATGCAGCAGGGTAAAGGCCAACCCTAGTTCACATGGTCAGGCGGTGGACACAGGAGACAGAGGTGGGTGCCCAGAGGGCCGTTGGTTCAGGGAGCCCCCCTCGGCGGTCCCAAGCCAGTGGGCGCCCAGCGGGCCGTTGGTTCAGGGAGCCCCCCTCGGCGGTCCCAAGCCAGTGGGTGCCCAGAGGGCCGTTGGTTCAGGGAGCCCCCCTCGGCGGTCCCAAGCCAGTCACCCTCGAGGTGCCCCACATGGGTGCTCGCAGCAGAACAGCCGTCCCCAGTGGGACAGTCTGCCCGGCGGGCCTCTCGCAGGGAAGACAATAGTGAGACGCCCTCCTTTTCTGGCGGGACAGCTGGGCACTGAGTGCCCACCGAGGCCAGCTTGGCTCTCAAGGCCGGTAGCACCTGTTCCTCAGCACTCGCTCCTGCCCGTCATGCTGCGGGATCCAGGACTGTCCAACCTACGGCCACCGCTGGGAAGGGTGGATGCCTGGCAGTGTGGCCTCCAGTGGGAGGGGAAACAGTGTGGGGTCCCTTGGGGTGAGGGTGAGGAGCTCAGACGCCTCGGGACTGGCCGGGTGGGCTGAGGCACAGCGACAGGAGTGGCCCTCACCCAGCGTCTGCAGACACCGAGCCTCCAGGGCTGCACCTGCTGCCACTGCAAGTCTGGGCAGCCGGGTGTGGGTTGTGGTCAAACCTGCCCTGTCCTGGGCCCATCCCACCATGCCACCTGCTCCCACGTCCCTTCCACCGGTCCCGTGTCCCGAGGTTCTGGGGAGGAGAGGCAGTGGGCTGGCCATGGACCGGTACTTGGTTAATTAGGAGGGAGGCCAGCCCACTCGGAAAGGGACATGGGTGAGCTGTGGGTCCAGGGCGGGACTGCAACCCCTCAGGTTCAAGGGAGGACGCAGTGGGTGCCCTGTGCGGGGATACCTGCTGTTCTTGGTGTCGTACTGCCGCATGTTCTTGATGAAATGAGTCTTCTTCAGGCCCTTATGTCTGGGGGACCCAGGTATGTGCTTGGTTCTGCAGGTGAAAAACAAACAGGTCACTAGTCCCTCCAGGACCCTCTGGCCCCAGGACGAGGCGGCGGAGTACGCAGGGCCTTAGAGCTCTAGCGGGCGGCAGACAGGACCTTTACCTCTGAACCGAGGGGCATCCCACCGTGTCCTCCAGAAACTCGAGGGAGCAGCGCTGGGAGGCGATCCGCCTTCTGTAAAGGAGATGCCGCAGGGCTCAGAATACAGCTCAGGAGGCATGCAGGGGGAACCAGGCTAGGGGCCAGGCCGCCTGGTGCAGGCCAGGGTGGGGGCACTAGGAGGAGTGTATCGGGGCCTCTGTAGGCGGGTGTGCTGCCTGCTCAGGGGCAGCAGGAGGAGCCTGTTGGGCAGACACCCAGCGTCCTGGGGCCCCGGGTGGGGCTGTGGAGGGTGACAGGCAGGCCCTGCCCCGAGGATGCCCCGCTAGAGCGGGAGGTCAGGATCTGTGCAGGAAAGGAAGCCAGCTGGTGGAGAAGGGACCATCCCTGGAGAGGTGTCTGTGATCTGCCCCACAGGGCTGGGCCCAGAGGCCCACAGAGCCGCCCCGCGGGGCTTTCTCAGACTCATTTCCTCAGGTAATTTCCCAGGTGGTGCCCGATGGCTCCCGCACGCCCGGGACCTCATTTGCAGAGCCCGGGCCAGCAGCAGTCTCCACGGAGGTGCTCAGTGATGCCCTGCTCAGCTCAGCGATGCCCGGGCCCCGGGAGGCCGGCCTGCAGCACGAGCAGTAGCCCCAGCCGCACGGCCTCGGCCCAGCCTGCTCCTCCATTAGCTCTGGGTCACCGCAGGGGGCGGCGCGGCCGGGTCACCACACTGGAGACCTGTTCCAGTGGGTCTCTTTTCCCCTCCCTTCCTTGGGTTTCGCAGACAAACTCAGTCCTCAGGTGGGCAGCGTTGCTACCCTCAGTTTACAGGTAGGGAGTCGAGATACAGAAGTGGGATCACCTCCCTTCCCCCGCACACAGCTCTGCACCCCAGATTCTGCCTGCTTTGTGCCCTGAGCAACCGCCGGGTGAGCTAGAGTCCAGGCAGTTCCCGCGCTGTTTCTCGGGGCTCCTTCCCTAAATGTGCTCACAGCCGGGGAGGAACCGCTCCTCACTAGACATTGTTTGTAGCGTCTGATGAACTTCCTTCACTTTCAGCTGAAGACCAGCCAGCCAAGGAATGGCTCCTGCCGAGGTCTGAGGACCACCCAGACCGGGTGAGGGGTCCAGGAAGAGGGATCAGACCGTCTGAGAACGGGCGGCCCTCACTGAAGCGACCACTCTTCTATATCGGTCACCTGACAGGTACCCCCGATAACCCTGGACCCCTGAAGGGACTGTGGTCCTGCCCACACCCTAACTTGACTAGTGACCTCTCAGACTGCAGGGGAGACCCTGGGAGCTGCCAGCTGTCCAGTGCCCTAACCCTCACCCAGAGAGGAGACCATGCAGAGGGGCCGGGGGAGCCGGTTCTGACCCAGCCAGCAGCCCAGAACCTGCCTCTCTCGTGTGTATTAAGTGTTGAAATAAAACAATCAGGGTTAGAAACCTGAAGAGTAAAACAGAGGCCCCGATGACTCACTCACTGAGCAGAAAAAGCTGCTCCAGACTGTGAGACAAGCCGCACTGTGGACCGAGCTGGCACCCCCTGGCTGCAGCCGGGGTCTCCGCTCACCTGGCCCTGGCCACTGCCACCTCGCTGAGCCCTGGACACTCGCCTGGCCTCACAGCAGCCCCTCCGCAGGGGTGCTCAATGCAAGTGCACTTCACGCAGAAGCAGAGGCTCAGAGAGGCCATGCCACCTGCTCCAGGCCACAGAGCCCCCGATGGTGCAGCCAGGATTCCGCCCCGTCTGTTCCCAGGGCCGGTCAAGCCCCGACACACACTCTGGGGAGGGGGCCTGGTTCTCTCCACTCCTGAACAAGTCTAGCGCAGTAGCTGGCCACCCCTCAGCAGACCTGGGGAGCGCGGGGAGGAATGGGCACCCCCATCCTGGAGGCCGGGGTCCCCAGCACTCGGGACAGCGAGGGGTGCTGGGGAGTCCGCGTCCAGGAGCTGATGGTTGTGGGCTGGGCGGGGTGTCTGGGGGCTGATGAGGGCTGAGGGAGCCCCGGAACTCACGTTCAGGGTGCTGACAAGGTTGAGGGCACCATGACCCTGTACTCGGGGGCTGGCACGACGCCCTATGGGAACCCCAACTCCCAGTCTAAGGAGCGGACAGAGCCCCAGACCTGACGCCTTGGCCCAGGGGCCCAGGACACCCCAACCCCGCATCTGGGGCTCACGGGGGTCAGGCCACCTCCTGCTCCCCAAGTCCGGGGCTGACGCGCCCCTGAGCCTGGCGTGATGGGAGGGCAGGGCCCCACGTCCGTGCAGGGGGCCCGCCCGCGCCGGCTGAGCGCCCCGGGTCACAGGTCAGCGGCCCGCCCCGCCCCGCGCGCCCCGCTCACCTCTGGCGCTGCGCGTCCAGGCCGAGGCCGGCGGGCGCGGGCGCGGGGCTGAGCAGGCCCTGGGGCGCCGCGGCTCTGCCCGCGCTTCCGGGCGGGGCGGGGGGCGCGGGCTCGGGCCCCGGGGGCCCCGGGGGCGGCGGCGGCGGCGCGGGCGGCTCGCGGGTCTCGGCGGGCGGCGGCGGCGGCGGCGGGCAGTTCTCGCCGACCGGGCCCAGGCTCGGGGGCCGCCCGTCCAGGGAGATGTTGTTGAGGAAGAAGAGCGCGGCCTGGCGGCGCCGCGAGTCCCCGCGTCTCCGCAGCGCCTGCGGCGGGGCCCTGGCGGTGGGGCCGGGGCCGGGGCCTGGGGCCGGGCCCGGGGCTCCTCCCGCCGCCGCCGCGGCCATCCTCCGACTGAGCTCGCGGGCCGCCGCCGCCGCCGCCGCCGCCCGCGCGCGCGCGCCGCGCGCCCGCGCTCGCCGCCCATTGGCCGCGGCGCGCCTTCATGCAAATGAGCCGCCGTCGCGCCCGCCTATTGGCCGGCGCGGCGCCGTGGGCGAGCCGCGGGGGGCTCGGGGGCGGCTCCCCTGGGTCTTAGAGGAAGCTTGCAGACGCCCTAGGGGCGGGGAGCCGCGCGCCCGCTCGTCCGCGTTCCCGCAGGGCCTGGCCCGGAGCCTAGTGGCGACGGGGCCTGGGTTCGAGTTCTCGCCTCGGAAGCTGGGCTCTTGCTGGGCTGCGGCGTCTGTAGTCGGTCTCCGTCGAGCCTGCGTCTTCAGGCTCCAGCGCACTTCCCCTCCGGGTGCGTGCCGGTTCCGGGTCTGAAGCTGGGCCACCTGCCGCCGGGGACGCCCTGCACTTTGCAGACGGCCATCTCTTTGTCCCTTCGAGGAGCCTCAGGGCCGGCGGTGCCACCGGACCTCCCTCACTGATTGAAGAAGAGACAGAGGGTCTGAGTGGGGAAGGGGCAGGTTGGAACAGCCCTGCTCTTCCCGCCGCCGCCAAGTGACCTGGGTCTCAGTGTTCTCTGTACCCAGGGGGGTTCCCCTGACTCCAGAGCCCGGGGCGTCTTGCTGAGGTGGAGCCCCGACTTTCCTCTGTGGCTTACTTATCCTCTGAGTGAGGACAGTGATTCCAGCTGCAGGTATTTTCAGGAGGAAGCTGGCCCCGCAGGGGACGTTGCCAGCACTGGCCTGCCCAGGGCTGGAGCCGGGCATTTGCTGTTTGGTTATACAGCTTGGTGAGTGCTTCTGCGGGGCTGCCCATCGCCCCAGGGGAGGAGGCGGCACCGACCTGCATCAGGGAAACGGTGGGCGCGTTTCTGGTTGCGAGGGGTATGAAGTCAGCGCCATCATCGTCATCATCGTCAGGGCCCCTTGCTCACCGTTCACCTGGGCACGTCCCTTCCTAGTGACCTTCATTCGCCAGCACAGGCAGGCTGTCCCCGTGCCCAGTCTGCCCTCTTCCCTTCCCCCCTGCCCTTCCAAAGTGCCCATGAGGCTTCACCAGCGAGGCTGCAAGTCAGATGTGAACGAAGCACACAGGTTCTGTTTTATTTGATTTCGGGAACATCAAAGCCACCTCCAACAGCTGGGAGATTCCACATGCACACATGCACACACGCACACTCCTAGACTTCTCTCTGACTGCTCAGAGCAAGGTGGGGAGCAGTGCCCCCGTTAGGCTTGCACCCCTATTTTGTCCCAGGCCTCACCCAGCCCAGTCATTGTCCCTGTGTCCTGCCTTCGTCCTGGAAGGGGCAGTTCTCAAATTTCACGGGCAGGGAAATTGCCCTTTGGAGCTTCCTAAATCCTGACCCGGTGCATGTGGGTGAGGCACGCCCACTTGAAGTGGCAATGGCTGAGGGGGCAGAATATCCTGAGTGTTGAGGGTGGAACACTGGGTGGGCTACCCTGTGGTCATGCCGAGGGCTGCCTAGTCAGTGGCAGATGTGGGGCGGGGGACTCGGGGTGTCAGTGAGGAGCTGCTGTGTAGGGGGCCTGTGTACATTTTTCTTCTGTTCCCCGGCCACCCCCAGAGGGCGCCCTGTCCCCGTTTCGCTTTGCTAGTGTTGATTCTGCCCTCTGGTAAGGGAATGACCTTCCTGACCCTGGAGGCATTAAAAAAAAAGCCTCTTGAGTCACCTGCCCAGGCAGATGTCAACCTGGCTGACCCCGACCCCGCTGGCCACACTTGCCACCCTTCTTTGCACCTTTCTTCTCCCAGCGTCCTGGGGACCCTCTCTTGGAACAGTGCCACTGTGTCCTTGGCCTGCCTAGGCCCTCAACGCCCAGCGCCTGTTTGCGGGGTTCCACAAGGGGGCGCCCAAGACCGCCGCTTGCAGCGCCGGGCGTGTCCGGAAAAGGGAGGCAGGCGCGCAGGGCCCTTAGAGTCCGGGATGCCAGTGGAGGCTGGGATGGGTCAAGGGGGTGGGCGGGCGCTGACTGTGTCCTGCAGGGGCGGGGCTGGGCTGAGGATCCCTAACTCCTGCGCTTTCCAACCCCTGGGGAGAACATGGGGTGGCAGGTCCAGCCAGTCATTCTCAAGAGTGGTGGAGAAGGAGGGATTCGAAAGACCGGCTATAGATTTCCTCCTGGCCTTCCCAGACCCTCTGGACGTGGTCAAGACCCAGTCTCCTTCCCCCCTGAGCTGGGCTGGGCTGGTGGTGTGGGCTGTCCTGGCCTCGGGTGGGCTGGCCGGGGAACCCTGGGCACAGCACGATAGGTCTCCTCCCAGCTGCTGTTGCTGGATGAGGGGCTGTTGTCTTCAGGGTCTTGGGCTCCCGGGCCCTTCAGCTGCCATCAGGGGCACCCCTGAGGTTCCTTCCCCCTCAGGACGGCTTCTTGGAGGCTGTGGGAAGTGGACTGAGGTCAGGCTGGGGTGCGCGGCAGTGGCCTGCTGTGTCCTCCCTTGAAATGACACTGGGCTCTCCCCAGGGCCTTGAGGGCAGTCTCTGGGCATGGGCACTGGAGAGCCCACACCGGCAGAGGTGACTTGTCCTGACTGGAGGTTGGTCGAAAAGCAGCCCCTGTCCCCAGGTGTGTGACCCTGGGGCTGGCCTGGCCTGGCGCCTCCCTTGCTGCAGAGAGCCCAGCGTATTTTGGATAACCCCTGCTGATGGGCAAGCGCGTTCTGAAACCTGAGACACTGTGGGGGCCTCCACGGGCCTGCCTTCAGCTGGGCCACAGGGGGCGATGTCAGTCCCCTGGGACCCTGGCAAGGGGGACCTGTCAGTGTGCTGGGTCCTGGCCCGCCTCTGATGCAGAGGAAGATTCAGACCTGGGTCAGAACCAGGTTGGAATCCTGATGCCATGTACCAGCTCTGTGACCTTGGGCAAGTCCCTTGCCTCTCTGCACCCCAGTTTCCCCACCTGTGAGAAAGTGAGATCCATCACTGGCCAGGGGCGTGAGGCCCAGAGGCAGTGATGACTGGGTGATGCTGGCACCTCTCCATGGGCACAGGCTACAAGGGCACTGCCCCTGGTGCTGCGCTGTGTGCGCCCTGCCTGGCGCAGAGCGGTGCCGGCCACAGGCTGGGAAGCGCCTGGAAATCGCACAGCTGTGCTGGCCTCCTCCGTGGCCGCCCGAGCAAACACAGGCCTCGGTCACCTTCTCGGCAACAATGGCGCATTGTGGCGGCCACCGTCCGGCCTGCCTAGGGGAGACCTGCTTGGACAAACACCAGGGCCGCACGCATTATTAGCTCAGGCGTTCAAAGGCTCTCTCGGGCACCTGGCCGGAGCTGCCTTTGTGGCCAGAACAGGAAGTGGGGTGTCCTGATACCCTCTGGTGGGGCGCCCACCTGCTCCCGCTGCCCTGTTGGAAGGAGCCCGGCCCACAGGCGCTACCCTCGGCAAACATGTGGGCGGCCCCCACTTCCCTAGCGGGAGCAAACACACCCCACGCCCCAGGGCTGCTCCGTCTGCTCCCCTTCGAAGGTGGCCCAGAAGGTCCAGGAGTCCCCGTCCCCCAGGTGGGAGGGGCTGGCTGGAGCTGACCGTGAGGAGGAAGTGGGTCAGCAATCCCCCAGGTCGCTCTGGTCCTCCTCCCAAGGGGCCTGCTCTGGGAGGGCTGGTTTCTGGTCTGGGTTCCAGTCAGTGTGAGGGTGTCATTCCCCAGGTGGACAGAAAGGTGGGGTGGGGGTGTGGGGCTGCAGCGACTCCCCGCCCCGCCCCGCCCTGGCCACATACCTTTGTCCCACAGGTCAGAGGACGAGGCCAGCTTCCTCTTCTGCGGCAGGCCCTGCGCGGGCTCCTCGGTGCAGAAACACCTGGGCCCCTCCCCCGGGGTGCTTGGAGCGGCCCCCACCTCAGGGCTCAGGCCCACCTGAGTGGTGTGGGGGTGTGGTCAGGGCCAGGACCCTCCTCGGAGCCTGGGGCAGCCCAGGGGGGCCCCACCTGGGACCCACCTCACTGTCCGAGGCATCTGGCACGTCCGGCTTGTCTGGCAGCGGCCACTGCGCCTCGGGGTGACTGAGCTCTGCGGGACGAGGGGCGTGGGTCAGGCAGGCTGGGGGCCGGGAGCCCAGTGGAAGCAGGGCTCTCTCTGGCCTGCCACACGAGGGTGAGCGGCAAGAACTCTGCAGATGAGGAAACTGAGGCCGAGTGACCTGCCCTGGAGTTGACCCCAGGCCCCACGTCTCCAGCGGGAGTGTCCCCTGGCTTGGGGAGCCCACTTCCTGCCCCCAGACCCTAATTGCTAGGACCCTTCCCTTCACTGCCTGTGGTCAGAGACATACCTGCCCTGACCCCCAATGCCTTTCTAGTTCTGCCTAAGGGAGACCCCAGGGGTGAGCCCAGCAGATCCAGGGGGCTGAGCTGGGCCCTGAGACAGGTACCCCCAGCCGACAGTGACCGCCGCACCTCCCTGCCCTCCTGTGGCCCCGCGTGCTGGCTTCTCATGACCTGGCGCTCACCCTTACCTGGGTGGCCGTCCGCATCAGGCCTCTGTGGGCGGGGGGACGGTTTTGGCCTGTCTCTGGACTCATCTTCCATCCTTAGAGGTGGGGGGCTCGGCTGGGGCCCTGGGAGAAGGTGTGGGGGGTCCTGGGGAAGCAGGTAACTGGCTTGAGTTCACTTGAGACCGTCTTGCCCAGCCCAAGCTTGGGCACAGCCAGAGGGACCCTGGCTGGGGCTGCGCTGGAGGCTGTGCGGCTCCTGAGTCAGGCAGCCTGAGAACCAGCCGCTGCCTGGGGGGGGGGGGGGCGTGGGGGATGGGCGGGGGCAAGAACAGGCTGGGCCTCACCGCGGGAGTGGGGGGCTCTTCCGGCTCAGGCGCTCCGCTCCCCTGGGTGCTTTTCCTTCGTCCCCAAGGTCCTGACTTTGCAAGTGGCTCTGTTCCCTGGGGGCGCTCAGGACTGGGCGTGGGGGTGGTGTGGGGGCTGAGCGACCCTGGCCGGCCCACGGGCTTGGGGGCGTCCCGGCCCCGGCCCCACTCTGAGAGGTCCAGGGGCTTGTCTGGAACATGGTCCTGTGTGGCCGTGGTCTCCTTCCCGCTGGGGCTGCCTGGGCCGGTGGGCTGTGGGGGCCACCTCCTGGGCAGGGCTGACCGGGCCGCCTCACCTTCTGGCCCCTCAGAGTCAGAGCCGACTGGAGGGGAGGGCAGCGTCTCCCCTGGCTTGAGGGGCCCCCTCAGCCTGGCATTGCCAGCCGGTCCCCGTGCCCGCAGCTGCTGGGCCAGGAGCAGGCTCAGTGCCCCCTCCAGCCTGGGGTCCCGCATGTCCACCAGGGTGCCCGGCAGGCCTAGTAGTCTGGAGGGCTCTTCCCAGGCCTCTGCCTCTCCGGCCTTCAGGGCCTGAGGCTGGGGGCCCCCAGAGCCTGTGGCGGGGGCCCGGGGGCTGCTGTGGGGGCTCCGAAGGTGCAGCGACAGGTGGCGGTTCAGGAGACAGAGGTGGTCGGCCTGCAGGGAATGCTTCAGGGACTCGAAGGTCACGGTGGAGGGCTGGGAGGCCCGCAGGAAGCTGGGGGGGGAGGAGCCCAGTGGCCGATCCACGATAACCCCCATCTCACAGGTGTGGACCGGGGGCCCAGAGAGGCGAGGAGAGCTGCCTAGGGCCCAGGGCGGGTAGGGGCGAGGGTGGGTTCCTGGCCCGGGTGCTGGAGGCCAGGCCACGTGACCTGGCCAGCGGAGCCTGGGGCTCTGAGGCCCCTCCCACTCTGGGCAGCAGCTACTGGAGTGCCACCACCTCCTCCCCCACATCCCTGCCCCACCCTGCTTTTCAGATGTCCCCGTGGGAACTTTGTGATGGGCAGGGTGCCCAGGAGAGCAAAGCCTCGGAAGGGCAGGGGCTCCTGGAGGGGTCACAGAGGGGCTCCTGGGCTACTGGCTACTTCTCAAGATGTGGAGACAGGTGCTCAGCTGAGGCCACGCCTGGGAGAGGCTGTGGGCAGGACCTCACCTGTCCAGGGGGAGACTGTGCTGGTAAGGAGGGCTGGGGGGGCTGCTCCTGGCAGGGGGCGTCCCGTTGGTGGAACCCCGGTCCACGGAGCAGGCCCGGGCCCCCGGCCGCACCACGGCGATCGTCCCGTGCAGCTGGTTGGAGATGCGCTGGGGACTCTGCACAGGGGGCAGTGGTCAGCCGAGTGGCCGGCTGCTGCCCAGTGCCCTTGCTCCCAGCGTGACCTGTAGCAGGTCACCCACCCGCTCTGAGCCCGGCCTCCACCCATGTCACATGGAGCTCAGTGGTCCCTGTCTGACCTAGAGGGCAGACACGCTGCGTGTGGGCCTGGGGCTGGAGGGGGGTGACTTCGGGGACCCTTGCCCTCACCATGTCGGGGGCTCGTGGCTCAGGTAGGTTGGCCCCTGGGGAGAGTTTGGCCACTGGAGACATCCTGTACCCCAGCTTCTCTGCAGGAGGGAAAGCAGTGGACAGGACAGGTTGGGAGGCAGCTCAGCCCCTGCCCAGGGGCTCCTGGGTTCTGTGATGCCCGGTCTCCAGGCCGCTGCTGCCTTCACCCCTTCTCCCTGCGGACCCGCACCTGGGGGATGGTCCTCCGCCTCCTCGTGGCCTCCCGGCAGCTTCTCGGTGATGGCCTTGCGGGCGCCCGGGGAGGTGAGCAGTGGGGGTGAGGTGGGGTCCGAGGCGCCCTCCCTGCGCTGGGGCTTGGGCCTGTCTCCCGAGGGGAGAGGGAGGGCACTGCCCCCCAGAGACAATCAGAAAGGCCATGGTGCCCTCCTGGGGGCCAAGCCACCACTGCCAGGGGACCCCGGTGGCCCGGAAAGAGCTCCCTTGACACCGCCTGAGATGCTGCTACCCCCAGGCTCACACTGCAGGGCTGAGCAGGTCTCATTGCTCCTCCAAATACCAGCGTCCCTGGTGAAGCCCCAAGTGTCAGAGCGGCTGTGGGTGCCGGGGCCCCAGCCCTGTTCCCAGGGGCCCACTGGCTCCTGTCGTTTACAAGGTGCCTGTGCTGGTTACTCTGAGGTCGGGGTCTGCTAGGCCGGCCCCGCGGGGTCCTGAGCCCCATGCCCCGGCCCTGGGCGCGTGCCCGGTGCCTGCTGGGAGCAGGGTGTGAGGCATCGGTGTTCAGGCCCCTGCGCTGCCCCTCACCCCGGGCCGCGAAGTCGGGTCATCTCCTCCCTCAAGGCCTCATTCTCCTCCTGCAGCCGGCTCATCTCGTTGGCTGCAAAAGACACTGGTGAGTGAGGATGGGGCGGGGAGGTGGGGCAGGGAGGTCCTCAGAGCCCCGGGCAAGTCTGGTATATAGCAGGTGCTCCATGCATGCTGGCCAGCTGAGGGGTGGCTCGATGTGGCCGAGCCAACAGCGCCAGCCTTGAGGCTGTGCAAAGTGGAGGGGACCCTCCTCCCAGGGGGAGGTCCCCCAAGGAGAAGGAGGTCTCCTCATCGCGGGGAGGAGGGAGCTGAAGCCTCAAGAGGGCCGGGATGCCCCAGCCCGGGGATGCCGGGGCCAGCTGGGGGCTTTGGATCATTTGTCTGTAAATTGGGGTGTGGGGTGCCCCCTGACAGAAGGGTTGCAAGCCCCGTGGGGGACAGCAGGGAGGGCTCACTGAGGACGAAGAGGTGCTGCAGGTTCTGGACGAAGGTGCTCTCGAACTCTTGCTGCCTCTTCCTGGCCAGCTCCTGGGTGACGGTGCAGCGGTCGCACAGGCCGGCCCGCAGTCTGGGGGGGCAGGGAGGCCGCTCTGAGGAGGGAGACGGAGGCCCACGGAGGAACGGGGCCTCCCAGGACGTGCCCCAGCCTTTCCCAAACTGTGGGAGCCCTGCCCCACTCCCTACCCACTGAGTTTGGGAAGGAACCTTGGAAATGCAGTTTACTTAAGGCTCTGAGAAGTCCTGAAGGGGGGGGGGCGGGGCAAAGCTTCTGGTTTAGTTTACCCCCAGACCTTCCCAAACTCATCCCCACGTACCCCTGGTCTTCTTCCCTTCTCCCTTGCCCCGCCCCCATGCAGTGTGAGCATGACCAGCAGGCGGCCGTTCCCCAAGGCTCACCTGTTCCCCAGGGCTCACCTGTTCCCCAGGGCTCACCTGTTCTCTAGCACCCGGACATTGTCCTTCAGAGCCTTCTGCTGTGCCCTGAGCTGGTGGTTCTTGGCACAGAGCTCCTCCACCCTCTGGGCGTCCCTGCAGGGGGACAGACCAAGGTGAGGTTTCTGCTCTGCCCTGGGGAGTCCATGTGGCCCCTGGCCCGCCTCTCCCACTGTCCTGTGCTGGGTCCACTGAGGGGACTTCCTCGTGAATGGGGACCTCGTGTGAGCCATGCTTAATCCAGCCCCACATGAGCACGCTGGGCCGCCTTGGTGACTGCGTCTGTCCATATGCCACTGTGGTCATCGGACCTCAGCCCCATTGGGGACAGGGGAGCCCCTTCCTTCAGGTCTCCCTGTCCCACGACGTATGTTCCTGTTGATAATTATTGATCCTGCAGACACCTTAAGTGGCCGTGGCTGGCCCAGCCCCATGGAGGGTCCCTGTTCATGGGGTGGTCTTGGAGTTTCCAGCCTTGGCTCACCAGTTACTAGAGACATGATGTGGGCCAGTGACTCCCTCCCTCCTGCCCACACTGAGCCTCACTTCCCCCCCGTCCATCAAGGGGTAGCACCCTGGAATGTGGAGGCTGAGTGAGCGTCTGGTGGGCTGCTGTCCCTTATACCCAACCCCACGGGGCCAGGCGTTGGACTCACCGGCACCGCTCCGAGTTCAGCTCCAGAAGCTTATTCTGCAGACCTGGAGGGTTGAGGACGGGGTGGAGGGTCAGGTCCGACCGTGTGGCCACCCCCTGCAGCAGAGCCCAGGGCACCTCCTGTCCCTCTCCACACCCCCACCCCTGCCCGGGTCCCCTCACTAATTCCCAGTCTTGGGACTGCTCAGGACCCCTGGTCTGAGGTCTCTGGCTCGGGCATCTGTCTGGAGGTTGGCTGGGACCTCAAAGCTGGGAGTAAGGAACACCTGGCCAGGCCCTGGGAGGGGCTTTTTTTTTGGGGTGCAGCTAGTATTAAATAAAATGGGCTCTTGAGGGAGACCCCACCAGACTCCTGCATGCCACCTTTTTGTGGTTAGGCCTGGGCTCATTAGCCCAAGCAGACCCTGACTCTAGGTTTCTGGGGAGGTGACCATGCTCTCTGGGCCCTCAGGGTGGTGTGTCGGTGCTGTGTACTGGCTAGTCTCGGGGGGTCTGTCCCGAGCTCTGGCGCACAGGGAGTGGAGGGACATTGTGGGTGGGGCGGAGCTCAGCCTGGTGTCCTAAAGGTAAATAGAGGGTTTCAGATCCATGCCCTGGACACCCCGATGGGCCTCCGGACACACGAGCTCTGTTCTTAGAGGATGCCGAGACCCCCGCCCTGGGCGAGGGAGGTTCTTGGCTCTCTGCAGCCAGCCTGGCCTTTTGTTTGCACGCTGACATGGGCTGGCCCTTTGGGAGAGCACCTGTGGGCACACCTGGGGTGCTGGTCTGAGGCTGGGCACCTGGCCTCTGGGCTCTGGGTCAGTGCTACCGTCTGGGCCTGGAAGGTGAGGTCCTAGGTTTGGAGGTGGTAGGCGGGAGCGGCCTGGCCTGGCCTGGGCCCTTAGACTGTGCGTCCAGGTCAGGGCCACCTTGGAGACCAGCCCCACCCCCACCTGCTGCCCCCATAACACTCACCCAGGACCTCCTTCTCGTGAATGTCCTTCAGCCTGTTCAGGGACTCCATGAAGCTCTCCATGGCCCCCGCAGCCCTGGCCCAGGCCCTCTGTGCTCGGGGTGCAGGGTGGCCCCTCGGCCCTACTGCCCCTCCGTTTCCAGCCTGTGGAGCAGGGAGTGAGCTGAAGGGCTTGTGGGCTTGGGAGGGGCCTGCGGGCTGCAGGTGTTGTTCTGGGCCAGGAGAGGGGAGACGCTGGCCCAGCAGGTGTTGGCGGAGGGTCTTGTCTTGGGCCACCCTGCACCACCCCCACTGGGTCCTGTCCACACCGAGGGCCCCGTGGGCTCGTCCACATTGCCCTGCTCTCAGCGTGCGTCCTGTGGGGGACCTTGGAGGGGACAGGAGGGACGAGGCCTGTTCTCGGAATCTCCACTACCCAATCCCAGCCTCACCACAAAGCAGAACTCCTCCCCGCCCCCTCACCCCAGGGTTGCAGCTTGGCCCCAGGTCAGGAGCCTTGGCTGGGCCTGGCTGCAGGTGCTTGGGGTGTCCATCTCATGTCCCGTGAACCCATCAGCCAGCTGCAACATGCGGATCCCTTCTGGGGAAGCCTCTCTTTCGGTCCTTCCATGAGGGGTTGGGGCACCGCCAGTGTCGGGGACACCCAGGGTCTCCGAGGCTCTGACCCCTGCAGGGGCTCCCGCTCACTCAGCCCGGCACTGCTCTGTCCGGGCAACGGGCTGCACGGTGTGTGTGTCGGGGTGCTGAGGCCCAGCGACCCCTGTGCCCACCTCAGGTCTGAGTAGTTGCAGAAGCTCATTTTGACCCCAGATCCACAGTTACTGAGGCTGGGCCAAGCCTCCTGCATCACCACTGAAGGGGTGGGGTCTGCTGCCAGCCCGGGTGCCCTGCGTCTCACAACCCACCCTCTTCCCTTCTGGGGCTCACCTCCAGGCCAGGGGGAGGTAGCCCCTTCTGGTCCTCAGCCTGAGGAGCCCTGGGGGGAGCACTGGACCCCACAAACAGATGGCCAAACTCCTGTAACTCTGGAATCCTCTCCTGGCACCCCACACTGACCCCTCAACAACTGTTGGCTGGACTTCTACTTATGCCCAGAACCTCACCTTTGCCTCCTCAGCCATGCCCGCTGGGTCCCGGTCACCATGGGACCACTACCATGGGACCGCAGTGCATCACCCGGGCCACTGCATCTGCCTCCCTGCCTCTGCCCGCCCCCAGGACACACTCTGCACAGTACAGTGTGTCCTGAAACTGCTCAGAATCGGCCCTGGGCCCACCGGAGGAGGCCTTGCCTGGCTCCTCCCCCTGCAGGAGGCCTTGCCTGGCTCCTCCCACCAGAGGAGGCCTTGCCTGGCTCCTCCCCCCCGCAGGAGGCCTTGCCTGGCTCCTCCCACCAGAGGAGGCCTAGCCTGGCTCCTCCCCCCGCAGGAGGCCTTGCCTGGCTCCTCCCCCTGCAGGAGGCCTTGCCTGGCTCCTCCCCCCGCAGGAGGCCTTACCTGGCTCCTCCCACCAGAGGAGGCCTTGCCTGGCTCCTCCCCCCCGCAGGAGGCCTTGCCTGGCTCCTCCCACCAGAGGAGGCCTAGCCTGGCTCCTCCCCCCGCAGGAGGCCTTGCCTGGCTCCTTCCCCCGCAGGAGGCCTTGCCTGGCTCCTCCCACCAGAGGAGGCCTTGCCTGGCTCCTCCCCCCGCAGGAGGCCTTGCCTGGCTCCTCCCACCAGAGGAGGCCTTGCCTGGCTCCTCCCCCCGCAGGAGGCCTTGCCTGGCTCCTCCCACCAGAGGAGGCCTTGCCTGGCTCCTCCCCCCGCAGGAGGCCTTGCCTGGCTCCTCCCACTGCAGGAGGCCTTGCCTGGCTCCTCCCACTGCAGGAGGCCTTGCCTGGCTCCTCCCCCCACACGAGGCCTTGCCTGGCTCCTCCCACTGCAGGAGGCCTTGCTTGGCTCCTCCCACCAGAGGAGGCCTTGCCTGGCTCCTCCCACTGCACGTGGCCTTGCCTGGCTCCTCCCACTGCACGTGGCCAATGCCTGGCTTCTCGCTTTGGCCACAGAAGGCGACTTGTCCCCTTTGCATTTCAAAGGTTGCCCTGAAGATGTGCAGGAGTTTGAAGCGGCACCCTACAAAACAGCCCCAAACTGTAAACCCCCAAATATCAGCAGCCGGATGTCCATGGCTGGAGGAGTGAGTGCCCCCAACCTGACATTGGAAGGGAGAGCAGACTTGAAAGCCGGCTGCTCTGGGCTTGGGGAGTAGGGGTGGCAGATGCGGGGGGGGGGGCTCGGCAGCTCTGCCTGAGTGGAGTAGTCCTCGTGACCCCAAGAGAAGCCAGGGGCAGTGAGACCGGGCTGGGCTGCCCCCCGGAAACAGACTGTGAGTCTAGCCGGACCCTCGAACCCGGGTCAAACGTCAGAGCCTGGACTTCTGGGTGAGATCCTGCGCCCTGCAGTGTCTGAGGAGCCAGCGGGGCAGGGTGCAGGGGTGTGGTGGAGGGTGGAGCGGCAGGAAGGTGGGGCTCCCCAAACTGGTTTACCAGAACTGTCTGAGCTGTGGGACAGCCCTGAGCACTGGGGGGGAAGCTGGGGTGCCTGCGTGGTGGCTCTGTCAGGTGATGAGGACTCTGGGAACGAGGGGTGCTTGGGAGAGCCCCCAGCTTGAGGGAGAGAAGATGGGGTTCCAGAGGTTGGGGGAGGCCAGGGCTCCAGCGGACAGGGTATAGATGGTAACGTGGCCGTTTCCTGAGCGCTGTCCACGCCGTACATCCAACACTATCACCGGAGTGTGTCTGACCCTGACCACAGCGAAAGGAGCCCACTCTCCAGAGAAACCGAGGCCCAGATAGAGCACGCCATCCTCCCCGGCTACCCCGTGGGAGGTGGGAGCCAGGGTTTGAGCTTCCCCTGAGGGCTGCGGAGGCTGCGCCCTCGCCCCGCGAGGACCAGGGACTCATCCCGGTCATCCTGGAGAGCTCACTGTGCTGACCTTTACCTCGAGGGGGTGCTCCTGGAAGGGCCAGACTTTGAACTGGGGCCTCGGCAGGCTCAGGGCTCCGGCGGGCGGGCGAGGAGGGCAGGGGAGGGCTGAGCTGCAGCACCTGAAATTCTACCCAGACCCGCCTGACCGGCGGCTCTTCCCCGCAGCTCCTGCGGTGGCCGAGGGCCGTGGGCAGGGCCGACGCCCATAAAGGAGGCGCCTGAGGGAGTCCCTGGTGCCACGGGCCCAGGAGAGGCCTGGGTGGGCTCTGGGTTCGAGTGAGAGGCTAGCGTTGTTCCCGATGATATCACTGTGGTGCCCTCTGCTGGGTCCCACCCCACACCCTGCCAGGTCCTCTTTGTGCCCCCAACTGCCCTGCCTGCCCTCCTGGCTGCCCCTCATAGGGTCCCTGAAGAGCAGGAGGGGACACGCCCTGCATGCTGGGCGTGGGGAGGGCCCGGGACAGGGCTGTGCAGGTGGCTGACAGCAAGCCTGGGTCCCTTGTTTCCCGCAGAGGCCCAGGGCCATGCAGCCCCTGGTGACAGTGCTGTGGGGACAGGGTCACTTTCCCAGGAGGGCAGGTGACCGAAACACACTTGGCTGAGGCAAAGTGGACCAGTCAGTCTCCAGGGCCACTGTGGGTAGAATGACCCTGGTTGTAGCCTCCGACCGGGCAGGGCAGCTCTGTGTTGGCCAGCAGTGCCCAGGGCAGCTGGGGGCTGGGGGTTCAGGGAACTCTGAAGGTGGGGTGGGCTCTCCCCTGGGCCTGTGCACAGGAGGGGTGACCTGAGTTGAGGGGGGCTGGGAAGCAAAGACCTGAGGTGTGCTGCTTAGGTCCCCCAGACAGGCCCAGGGGTTCCCCAGCCCTCTACCTCTGGACCCCCAGGCTGGAAGGCCTCTGCTGGGCTGAGCCCGCAGGAGTGGGTGGGAGAGCAGGCAGCCACTCACCCTGAGCGGAGTCAGCCAGGCCAGAGTGCCCAAGGTGGTCCAAGCCACAGCCTGCCGCCCTGGTGGGGCCCATCCTACCTGTACCCTCTGAGAGACTTGGGCACATGGTGTTACCGCTCGGAGCCTCATCTGGGTCCTGACACTACCTTCCACATCAGGACACTGTGAGGCTCCTTCCCAGGAGCACGCATCCAGGTGACACCTGTCTAGGTCTGTCTGCCCAGGTGACACCTGTCCTGGGTGTCTCCCTGGGGAGACATACGCAGCCTGGTACCCCGCAGGCCAAGTGCTGAGTTCACTGCGGATGGAGACCCTGTGTCCCCTGCCTGCCGCTCTCCACTAGCGCCTCCCTCACATGAGACCCCGGGGCTGTCAGTTCTGTTCACAGGAGTCCCTCCTCTCTTGGGCCAATTCTGGTCCCACTGCCACAAAGACCCTTTGCAGGAAGACACCCCCCAATTCAGGGCAGAGGTTTCAGGAATCTGGAGTGATGGTACACACCGAGTGGATACTTCAGGTCCACTGCGTCTTGGCGGCTGTGCCCAGGGCAGGTGCCATCTGGCCCCAGGCACAGGGGAGGGCACCAAGGCCCCAGTCTGGCCTGGTCACTGTCTGGTCGAGCAGCAAAGCCCCAGGGGTGTGGCTTCTCGCCCTGCTCTGGGGCCAGCTGGGCCCCTGGGCTGCTCCAGGCTCTGGGCTCCTCACCCCCTTGCCGTCTCCCCTGGTTGGGGCAACCCTGCTTCAACAGGCCCTTGGTGCCAGAGGGCTGTGCCAGGCCCGGGTTCTACTCCTTCTCCGCTGTGGGTCTGCCTGTCCGTCCACCGGCCCTCAGAGCAGCCATGGCGATGCTTTGGGCCGAGCACGGTGCCAGGGCTCGTCACGCCTGCAGAGGCACGCGACAACCCCAGAACTCGGAGAGAGTCGAGCATGGAGAGGTCACCTGACCTGCCGTCCCCAAGTGACTGATCCCTGACCTCCTGCACGGGGCCAGGCACACCTCAGAGCACCCCGAACGTTCACGGCGTGAGTTTATGGGGCACCGGCTGCGTGCCCCGGTCAGCATGTGCGGGGCCTTCAGGAGGGGCTCATTGGCCCACAGATCCAGGCTCTGGGGCTCAAGCAGAGGAGGCCCCTGTGCCTCTGTCCACCCTCTGTGGGGGCCTCTGCAGTGAGGGCCATTGCTCACCT